CCGGGGGCACCGCGGCCGAGCGTGGCCGGAAGCCCAGGACGGATTCGGAGCAGGGCAGCACAGGCAGCAGGGACGGCAAGACCACCGTGTGGATCTAAGCGTGGCACGGGCTGCCTGTGTTCCTGCCATGATCCCCAGAGCTGTGCAGAGCAGGGGCCCAGGGCTGACCAGCGCCCCCTCCAGGAAGGCCCGGAGCCGGGATGGGTCCGCGGATTTTCAGGCCCGGCCTCCCTGTAGCTCCCCAGGTGGTACACTGGTGCTGGTCTGGACATGAGCGAGGGACTGTGCTTTCCTTGCTCCCTGTAGTACTAACTGAGCTCCTCGGCAGCCCCCCGTGCCCCCAACCCTTGTTCCTCTACCGCTGGGGCGATCCCAGTCTTCCCAGCCAGGAAAGGGAAGCCCAGGCCTGCCGGTCTAGGTGGAAGCCTCTTCACCCAGTCCTGCTCTACAGCCAGTTCTGGGCAAACACTCAAGGAGCCAGGGCTGGACAAGACCGCACCTTCTTTGCTTACCCCTTCTGCTGGGACATCCGTGTGCCTTGTTGTGTGGGCAGGCACTGTGGTGGTTACTGTCTGTGGCTTTGGCCATGCAGGGCCAGGGTTCTGGAGGCTGCCCATGACTTCTGGCTCTTCCCGATTCAGAGCTAGCTTCAGAGAAGGGAGATGAGCTTTAGACAAATAAAGCTTGACTTCATTTACACACGTTATGTACATGGGTCATGTCTGAACATGTGAGCTCCATGCCTACATGTGATAGTGTGTGCCTGTGTGCTTGCCATGCATACATGTGAACAAGCACATGTGAAGTGTCCACTTCTGGCCCCCAGACTGTTGGAGAGGAGCACTCTCCTCAGGGACAGGCAGGAAACGGACCAGAGACAGCATCCTCGAAGGTCCCCAGACTCGATGGTGCCACTCAGTGCCAGGCAGCATTCTGTCTGGGGTGCACAGATGTCAGGTGACAAAGACCAGCAAGGCATAAGGTTAGCCTGAAGCTCAGGGGCAGAGGTACCTGGAGGTACAGAGCTGCTGGCAGGGATGGTTGCAGTGGCTTTTGTGAGGGACATGGGAGCAGGCTTGGGGCAGACCATCATTCACTGCCAGTGGCCACCCTGGTGAAGGCTCCAGGTGACTCCCTGGCTGCAAGCTCTTCCCACATGGCTCTGGGCCAGGTGCAGTGAAGCCCCAAGTCTCTCCTCAGTCTGACCCCGTGGAATGCCAACTGCAAGCCTCTCTAACCCTTGGCCCTGGAAGCCAGAGACAGCAGTGAGGGAAGGGCAGCCTCAGAATGAGGGCGGATCTGGAGCCAGAATGGCTGTCTCCTCGACTGTCACCATGACCAGTGCCTGCCAGGGAAGAGCTCTGCCATCTGGGTCTGAAGCTCTGAGGCCGGAAAAGCTCTCCCTGGGCTAGGCAGGGTTCCTGTGGCATGGGCCTGGTGACCAGCCATACCTGGCAACCAAGCACCTGTTTGTTCTCCTCAGGCCTTCCCCTGATTGGATGAGGCCCACCTTGGCATTTCCTCAGGATTCAAATGCCAATCCCATGGTGAAGCACTCCTAGACACACCCAGAATGATGTTTTAAAAATTATTTTTAATTGAAATATAATTATAGGTATTCATAAGGTACATTGTGATGACTGGGGAGGTGTCTATACTGATAGTAAACCAGGCATTCCATCTCCTCCTTACAAATTCTTATCTTAGCACTGGGAGCTTGGAGTGGCTCCCTTTTAGCACTTTAAGGAGTCCACAGTACATCACTGTGAGCTACACAGCAAGGTTTGCTCAGTTATCTGGGTGGTGCTTGTGGCCCTGGTATGCATAGAGTCAGAATGGCTCCTTTTCTGGAAGCCCCAGATGTTGGATGGTTGGCACAGGGGACAGGGAGAGACCAGCACACAGGATCTGAATCTGCCTGACTGCCATCAGCCAGCCAGGCTGGTGGGGTCCCCGTCCATGGCCTTGTCTCAGCTCCATTCCAAGGCCTCTGCCAACTGGCCACTGCTCATGAGAGTTTGCAGAGGGCTGGGGTGGAGGAGCCACATTCAAAGATGTCCCAGAAAAGGGAGGAAACCCCTAGGAGAGAAAAACAGGAAACAAACCCTGGGAGGTGGGGTTGGGACCCCCAGACAGTTCATTTCCATCCTCTTGGTCCTTCCTGACGGCTGCTGGGCCCAGGGCCTTGTAGGGAGTTGCTGTAGGTCCCTTGTAGCCTGCAGAGGCCAGGCTACAGTCTCCTCCCTCATGGGGGCAGTGACTCAGGCCCCAAGCTTTGTGCTGGTGGATAAAAGGCCACTGGGTAGGGTGCTGGCGAGGCTGCCACAGGAGATCCCGGATATCTTCCTGGAGGGGAGCCACTGACAGGTTGGGGTGGGGGTGAGTTCCATTTCCTTCCACTTGAGCCTATCAGCATCTCCTCCACGGGGGTTGGTTACCTGTCCTTCCTGCAGGATGGTATGCGGGGTTGTGGGGTGAGAAGCCAGATTCTCCTCTGGCCAGGGCTGGGCTGATCAGACACTGGAAAAAAATAAGACCCTGCCCTGTGGAAGGCAAGCGATCGCCCTCAGGTCCACAGAGAGGAAGGGGCAGCCTGCCAGGACCGCACATTCCAGCACTGGCTGGGAATTGCTTGGAAGGAGGGGCACCAAGGGTTAAGGACCTTTGGGGGCTCCTGGCCTCCCTCAGTCCAGGCTCTGCCCAAAAGTAGGCCAGACCAACAGGAGGCGTCCAGAGAGGTTGAAGAACTTGAGAGGCCTGGGAGGAGCCCAGAGGAGCCTAGAGGGCCCAGGCAGGTCCTGGAATCTGGTCATAGCCAGGGAGCCACACATGCAACCCTCTTTGTAGAAAGCTACCTCAGATAGTAATTTAACGTTAACTGAGGCCTCTGCATGGCAGGCACTGTCCTAGGCTGGGCCTTATCCCAGGGAGATGAAAGTAAGCTGTGACAAAGATTTTCTGCCTAGGCTGCATGTGATGGTGCATGCTTGTAAAACAGCTGAGAGGCTGAGGCAGGAGGATCACAAGCTCAAGGCCAGCTGGGTACTTAGTGAGACCCTGTCTCAAGAAATAAAAAGGGCTGGGGTGGTGGCTTAGTGGTAGAGCATGTGCCCAGCATGTGCAAGGCTCGAGGTTTATCCCCAATACTGACAAAAAAAAAAAAAAAAAAAAAAAATCAAAAAATCCGGTTTCAGTGAGAACTTTGTGGACTCAGCGTAGTCAGGACGCCCCGTCTGACCGACTCCTCCTGCCCAACCAAGCTGGGCTCTGGCCATCTAGCGCCTTCAGTATGAATCCGCAGTGCTCTTCCTTTCCACCCACGGACCCCACCTGCTTCTGGGCTAGGGGTTCCCACTGTATGCACTGTCTGGAGATGGGCCAATTTCTCTTTCCCACTGCAGGATTCCGCGGCGCCCTGTGTCCATCTCCAGGGATCCTTTAGCATCATGTTAAACCCCACTCACCGCAAGGAGCTCAAGGGCTGCAGACAGGCTTTTCAGAGGAGCAGGGTCCCCCGAGGCAGCGCGAGGAGCCAGAAGCCGGCAGGGCGGGGCCACGCGCGACCCCGCCCC